ACAATGTTGGACTAACAATGGGAATATTTGTAAAACATCTTTTGAAACTCCTTGTTTTGTGGAGAAAATGTCAAATAATACAGGCATTAATTATTAAAAGTTTTTATTTTCTTAAAATTTAAAGATAACAGAGGATGTGGAAAGTGTAATTCTAAATCATGTAGGGAATGTCAAGATAATCGTTGTAATGAATTGAAGGGGATTTATTATTGTAACAGTGTTGATGGAATTAATGGAGTTAAAGAATGTAGCAAGCCTGACTGTTACGTTTTAAAATTGAATAATAATAAAGGTAAAATTAAGGATTAATATTTGGGAATTTATTGTGTTAGGGTCCCCTAAGTTTAGTTCCATCAAAAAACTCACTACATTTTCGTCTTCAGCTTGAGGAAGCCTTGATCTGAACACGAATATTCTGTTTACTAGGAGAGGTAACAAAAAATTAGGCACGGATCTTGAACTCGGATTTGAATCCGGTCAGATCAGGATCAACAAACTCTTAAATACACGGTGTGTCAACACCAAGAGTTTTCAAAACAGCAGCTACCTATCCTTTATTTCGCAAAACCTTGTCTACCTCCTTTTAATACACTCCTCCACAAAAGTATAAGGGCACTTGTATTTTCGCAATTTTTTTACTTCCAATGATCCAAATTTTCTGAAAATTTAGATACACACCTTTTAGTGAATAACTAATAAGATGTCAATAGATTTTTGGTTGATTTTTTATCTAAAAAATTTTTAGACCAAAATTTGCATTTTCGGCCTCCACAAAAGTATAGGGGCACTTTAGAAAAAGATATTTCCAAGATTAGAAAAAATCTACAAAAATTATAGGGAACATACACAATGATATTATGAAAAAATAAAAAAGAACTAGACCCATATCCTTACCCGAAGCCGAGATCCTGAGACCCCGAAAATCAACGTAAATCAGGGGTAAGGCTCTTTTCAAAAATTTTTTGACCCCTTGTGGATTGTTTTGAATTTTGATTTTGGGCTCATTCGAAAGCCCTTGAAATTTGCTACAAGATAGTAATACTCATATATCTCAGAATCAATTCATTAGAGATATGCAGGACGTTAATATTCCATATCTAATTTTATGGGGGCATTAGGGCGTTTTTAGTGCCTTAGAAATTTAAACCTTAGGAACTTACTGAGATAATTTTTCTAGAAAATAAAACTTTTGCTATCTTGTAGCAAATTTCAAGGGCTTTCGAATGAGCCCAAAATCAAAATTTAAAACAATCCACAAGGGGTCGAAAAATTTTTTAAAAAAGCCTTACCCCTGATTTACGTTGATTTTCGGGGTCTCAGGATCTCGGCTTCGGGTAAGGATATGGGTCTAGTTCTTTTTTATTTTTTCATAATATCATTATGTATGTTTGCTAGAATTTTTGTAGATTTTTTCTAATCTTGGAAATATCTTTTTTGTAAGTGCCCCTATACTTTTGTGGAGGCCGAAAATGCAAATTTTGGTCTAAAAATTTTTTAGATAAAAAATCAACCAAAAATCTATTGACATCTTATTAGTTATTCACTAAAAGGTGTTTATCTAAATTTTCAGAAAATTTGGATCATTGGAAGTAAAAAAATTGCGAAAATACAAGTGCCCTTATACTTTTGTGGAGGAGTGTATGTATACATGAAGTACTACAAGCAGGGGATTAAAAAGGAATAGCTGATTTAGCTTCATAATTTCCACATCAATCCCGAAAAATAAAATTCACATTTTTAGTTAAGAATAAAAGTGAATTCTATTACGACTGTGGAAAATGTCTAGTTAATAACGAAATGTTCAAGAATACATCCAATGTATCCCTCTTCAAAAAATTGGCTGGAACCAATATAAGCGATATACAATGCGCAGAATGCAATAATGGTCCTTTATGTAATAATGAAAAGTTTTTCGAGAACCAATTGTTTTGTTTGGAGAAGTTGGAGAATGAAACGAAAATAAATAAAGGGATAAGGGTTTGTAAAGAGGGGTGCTTTGTTTGGAGAAATTTTAAATCTGGAAAAGGTAGGTATTTTTGTTATAAGACTCAGAGGTGGGTCGGAACAGCCAGAAGTGTCGGAAATCGGAAGAGTTGGAAATAGGAACTGGCTCAAAAGTCGGAACTCGGAAATCAAAATTTTTTTCGGAAATTGGAAGGAAAAAACGTCGGAAATCGGAAGTCCGACCTACCTCTGATTAGAATTTAAATGATCATATCCTCTGTTTATAGTAACACAAGGATGTGGAAAATGTTCAATTAAAGACAGAACAGAATGTACAAAGTGTAATGAAGAAGCTTATTGCAACACTGAACAGAAAGTCCATAAATATTGTTGGGAAAATAATAATAAAATATGTAAAACACCTTCTACTTCTACATGCCATGCATTGAGAACATCAACAAATGAGGGTTTAAATAAATTAATTTAATACGATTTTAAACTGAAACAAATTTAAAGTTAAAAAAGGATGTGGAAAGTGCCCCTTCCATACATGTGAAGAGTGTAATGAACATCTCTGCAATAATCAAACAACAGTTCCTTTCTATTGCTTTGGGTTTATGGGAAGTTATAAAAAGTGTGAAAAAGCTGACTGTTACATTGCTAAAATTGAGGAAAAGCTAGGAGGTAGAAGTTACAATATATGTAGAGTAAAGCAGCTGGACTATAGCTATTTCTCTCCTTCGGCTAGTTCAAAAGGTTATTCAGCGGCTGGGAGCGAACCAGCATCTTAGGTAGACCAAACTGATGTGTTATCCATTACACCATGCCGCCTACTGCACGGCCTTAGAATTAAATAGCTAGGTGCTTTACAGTAGTTAACAAGAATTCTTATTTTAGACAAGAAGATAGACCAATTCCACTATGATTGTGGAACATGTCCATCAGGCATTCTCGACCTTTCTCCCTACATCAAAACTAAAGATGCAACACTCCAAGAAAAAATAAAGAAAATAAATATGAGTAATGTTCAATGTGCACAATGTAACAATAAACCAGCTTGTAATTCTGATTCGTTTTTTGAAAGTCAATTGTTTTGTTGGGAAAAAGATTCTAACAAATGGGCAGCTATAAAGGGGAAAAGTCTTTGTAAGAAGGAAATGTGCTTCGTTGGAGTTGATAAAAAGGAAATGGGTAAATGATAAGTATTTGAGGGAGGGTTGGCTCAAAATAGTGTTGGAAGCTCGTAGCAAAATTCGTACTTGTACTCGTACCTGTGTACACTCTGTTTCAAAATTTTAGAGCCACTAAATTTTTCGTGATAACTCGATGAAAATCAATTGAATTTTTTTGAAATTTTGCCATAATGTTTAAATAAACAATACATATCTATCTGCAGAAAATAAATCCCATCCAGTGTCTGCAAGAAATTTTATTCCAAAAAATTAAATTTATAAGTGTTTCATAATTATAGACGAATAAGAGGTAGAAAAAGGCTCTGCGAAAGTACGAGTACGATTACGTCTAATTTTCAAAATTCCAACCACTGGCTCCAAATTTAATAATGTCCAAATTCAGTTTACAAACATGATTACTTTCCTAAAAATCATTTTTATTTCATTTCCAAATTTGGACATGTAGATTGGCTTATACTAAAATTTACATATTTAATTAAAGGCTTAGTACAAGGATGCGGTAAATGTGAAACACATCTAAATCTGACCAAATGCACTAATTGTTCAGGACACTTATGTAATACAGAAGCAATACTTCCTCCCCCAATAAAATGTCACTTTCTTGTTGCCAATTTTCAGCCTTATGTTAAAATAAGTAAAACATGCCAACATGTTTATGATAGTTGTTATATTGCTAGAGATGTTTTTGGGAGAGGTTAAACGAGATATTTATAAAAATTATAAAAAATTTTTCTCAAGTTGAGCAAAATTGTGGAGAATGTCCTTTAAAATATCAAAAATGTATTACATGTAATAGTGATTTTTGTAATGAAGAATCCCTTATTCCCTTAACAACTATTGAAACAACAAAAATAACAACGGATACTAGTACAATAATCACAACCACAACAAATAAAATTAAAATTAACACAATTAATAAAACAATTGTAACAACAAAGCGTTCTGCTATGTCGAAAGCAAAAATGAATAAAGTTGAAATAAATGCTACATTTATTCTTATGTTTATTTTAATTAAAATTTTAACAATTTTGTAATATTTATCTTTTAAAATTTTTATAAAGATTAATTATTGCTAAGTATAATTATTGCTAAGATACCGATATTATAGAACGACAACTAAAGTCCGGTCCCTAATTAAAATCACTTTATGCATTATAATTTTTGAATTCAACAATTTAATTATGCATCTTTTTATTACTAATGATTAGGGCGTGTCAAAATATGCACGGAAAATCCCAAAATATGCGCATATATGCACCGAAAAAGTCCAAAATATGCACCAAAATATGCAAAATATGAATTAAATATACTGCAAAAATAATGAAAATATGCTTTAAAAATCAATATCTAAATTTAAAAAATACTAAATTAGCATCTAAATTGCAGTTTAAGAGCATTTCTAAATGATTTTATGAACTTAAAATTTAACCAAAAAAATTTTTTTGAAAAAAATTTATCGCGAAAAATTTTTCAAAAAAATTTTTTCGAAAAATTTTTATTAAAAATTTTTTTCCCAAAAAATTCCTAAATTTTTACTAAAATTTCTCAAAAAATGCCAAAATATGCACAAATTTAGGTAAAAATATGTAAAATTTCCCAAAATATGCATTGATATGCAAATATGCACGAAAGTACCGAAATATGCAAAAATATGCTATAGGAATCCGGTCCCTAATGTTCGTACCGATGTAAAAACACCATTTTTGAGCGTTTCAGCTCATGGCATATCCGCATGCAAAATATGCATATATTTTTAACATATTTATTTTTAACATAACCTATTTAATTTTATATCATATCTACATAGCTGAACGATTTTAGTAGATTTATTATTTAAAATATTCCACAAATTAATACATATTTTCATCCACCATAGCACCCACTCTGCCCATATTTTGCTACATTTCTATCAAAATATGTTAGGTGGTCGCTAACATAATAAAGACTTAAATAAAAATAATTTTGTTATTGTTATCAAATCCTACTCATATTTATTTGCACAATCCTTGTCTTCATCTCCCCCTACACATCTCTTCCATGCAGAACCTGGTTTCATGTCGTTATCATAAAAAATCTTGAAATCTAATAAATTTAATAAAGTAATTAAAACCTCAGTTCTATAATGAGCATAATCTTCATATGTTCGTGGAGGTACATGAACAACTAAATCGCGAGCTCTTACTACACGGTAATTGAAGAATGACAACTTAAAATAATAAATAGTTATAGGTAAAGTACAAACACGCATACCGTATTTACTCGATTAATTCCCCTGGGGAATTATTTTTTCAACCCATCCGTGGCATGGGGAATTATTCAAGGGAGGGGAATTATTCGAGTTTTGAAATTTGAACGTGTAATAGGGTATTCGAGGGAGGGGAATTATTTTTTCAACTTATCCCTGGCATGGGGAATTAATAGAGGGTGGGGAATTATTCGAGGGTGGGGAATTAATCGAGTAAATACGGTATGCATGTTTTTACAACCCCAATTATAAAGCAAAAATTCTGAAATTTCACCTCTCTATCCATTGCAGCCGCAAATCCACTATCTCCTGTTCTTGGTTGCCCAAAAGTCACTAATTTTACTTTATCTTGCGGGATTGCTTTGATATGAACCAATTTTGCTGCGGCTAATGCAGCCAATGATCCGCCCAAAGAATGTCCGGTTATCTATTAAATATATCTTTTAACTTAATATTTATCTTGATTATAATCAGAGACAAAGTATTAACGCCAATAACCAAAAATGCGTATATATATTCAAAAAATCCCAAAATATCCACTAATATAAAAATATATGTACAAAATTTCCAAAATATGCGACTGAACTAAGCAACTATTTAGAAAATTTTTTTCAACTGGATCAATAAAGTATACTCGCCGATTGAAAACTACAAATTGATAAATGTCAAGAAAAATGATTTCTTGCTTATCGAGCTATAATTATTTAATAGGCGATTGTACTTGATTTCCAGCTGGAAAACGATATTTTAGATTGCCTATTTTCTTAATATTTTGTAAAATTCATTTCTTGATTCAAAATAATACAAAATATAAAAAATACTAAGCTGCACAATAAATAAATAAATTGAACAAACCCAAAGTTCATATCCCCGATGCTTTCTTAAAAGATCGACGATCGTTTCAGTTACACCTTTCTTGTCTAACTGCGTAAAAATATTATCGAAATAGAAGGCAACCTTGAAAAGATATACATATAACAAAAATTTTAAATATTAAGACAAACATATCCATGGCCAAATACCGAAAGAACTGGTAATAGTTTGGAATTCGCCCCCCCCTTTTTTTTCCTTTCTATTTTTTCTAATTTTTTTTCATTTTATGGCAAATTATATATCATTCGAAAGAGCTCTTCAAGCTGAGTCGAATGACGTTAAGATCAACGAAATCCGACTTAAGTGAACAAAGTTGTGACCGTTTATTTTATCCCCGTGCATTGACACAAAAAGTTTGCACAAACTAGGATTTGGCTTCATAATTTTGGTAAGATTGATCAGATCTGGCCAATCATGGTATCATTCGATCACGCTCGAAGAGCTCTTTCGAATGATATATGATAAATTATGTATCAAACAAAAAAGCTCAAAATGGTCAGTGAAACAGTGAAAAAAAGGGGGGCGAATTCCAAACTATTACCAAAGAACTTTTTGAAATAATAAAGTCTCCAAAACTTCATGAGTTAATTGCCAAAAGGTGTCTGTACCTCTTTAATATTTACAAAAATATTTTTAATAATTTTCTAAAAATACAGGGTGTTTCAGATAAAAAGCACTATTTGAAAATTCAATAACTTTTTAGTACGTGGACAGATTTTGATGATCTATCGCCAAGTGTTTACTCTAGTGTCTATCGCTGCTTGTAAAAAACAAAAGGCAGTAGAATGCATGTGCGGAAAAAGGGAAAAACAGGACGATAGAGTACGAAATTATCTCGGGTTAGGGTTCGAATTTAGACATAATTTTTATGTCAAAAAAATGCCATAAAATATAGATATTAAATACCAAATTTCATTAAAATCTGTCCAAGCATTAAAAAGTTAATGAATTTTCAAATAGTGCTTTTTATCTGAAACACCCTGTATTTCTACCTAAATGCTAGAACAACCGCTTCGTCAGTTAAAGAGACGGCAGTAAAAGCTGAACAATAAGCATCCACACCTTGGCATTTAACTACCCAACTTTTGATAAACTAAAGGTTTATCACTTTTATTTCATTTATTATTTTAAATAATTACTAGAAAATCGGGATATATTTCTGTAAGACATTCATTAATATTTTTGTCAGAACCATAAGCAGCAGCTGCTAATGGAAATTTTTTAAGGCGAATAAATCTGTCTATATATGTTACTACAACCTTAAATTTAAAGGAATTTAATAGTTATATCGGTCTATAAAATTTGTAAAATTGATTCATTCCTTGATATCGGTCTCCTCATTCTAAGTATTCTCTCCTCAAAACATTTTTTCGAGATTTCGATTTTCAATGGTTTTTTCCTTTCGATTTTTAATTTGGATTTTTAACAATCGAAAATTCAAAAAATTTTTGCCTTTGGTGCTAATAATCTAAAAGCTATTTATTTAAATTTGATCAAAAATATCAAATTGAGGATAAAATTGACTGTTCACATATGTATAATTTTTTGTGTTGTCTCCCCAAAATCAATTCCCTTACCTCCCAGTCACCGGATAATCTTCAATAATTATTTCAGTTTCGGATGTGAATATCCAAACTTTTAGTTTGTATATCGGATCCGGTTTAGATATCCTTAATTTTCCCGGATTCATCACCATAGTTCTAGGATTATTTTAATTTCTGTCTTTATAATCCCAAAGCAATAGTGCCAGACCTAACTTACTCACAAAAAGCATTTTATGTATTTACTTTCCATTTTTTTTTGATTTTTGAAGATTGTTTGGATCTAAACGGCACGCGGACATATCGGGACGGACAATATCGGGATATTTCAATGTACTAACAGTTACCCTACTGATTTCGGGACCTACAGCCACTGGGTCTTTGATAATATATTGTCCTATTAAGGAATAGTTTTTATCTCTTAGATCAAACGTAAACACGCAAGAAATTATTTTTGTCACCCCAATCCCCATATGAGCGTCCCGATATGTCCGCACACAATTTAAACGCCCTCGCCACATTTAATTTTGAATTTTAAAATTAATTAAAAGAATACCTTGCTTTCATTAAATTTACCAAAATTCTGATTTATTTTTCGATAATTATCCTCCAATTCTTGACTAACATTAAATTTGTTACTCAATTTTTGTAACGATATATAATTTGAAGGCAATTCATTATATATTTGAGAATAATTTAAGGTAGTTTGAGCTTTACCACACGAATAATTTAATAAAATAATCATTAAATTAAAAATAATTTTGTTAATAAAATTTATTTTATTTTTATTTAATTTCATTTTAATTTAATTTAAAATGAAATTTAAAATGAAGATTAATTCGTTTAAGTCATTTTAATAATAAGATTATTTTTAAAAAATTATTAATTAGGTATTATTTACTCATTTTTATTAACAAAGATATACCCAAACGAATACTTTTTGAGAATTTAAAGGTTTAAAGCTAAAAATCATTTTATTAAACGCTCTTTCTTTTTTAAATAATTTTGGATAGAAAAAGCTTTTGCGAGAATTCTCTTACTAAATTTTGCTTTCAAATTAAATAAAAAATAATTTTAAATAATATCCAGCTAATCAAATTTTAAATGTTTTCACGTATGGGTATACATAAAATGAATAGAATACACAGAATTTTGGTATCTATTTTTATAGTTTGTATTTTATTCAAAATTGAAAAATAAATTAATGAAAAATAATTCTCGTATTTTGTTGTAAATCGATTATCTCTTAATTGCCATAATTAATATTTTAACGAGTTAATACGGGTTTAATATCCAACTATTATTTTCTGACCTTACTTTCATTTACTTCATCATAAATTAGTCGAGAATTTTTAAAAAATTTTAAATAAAAATCCAGACCTCTTGTAACTTTAACAATAATATTATATATGCCTAAGCCTGCAATCATTACACGAAAATTCAGAAAAAAATAAACAAATTTTAAATGTAAAATTCGAAAAATATGGGTGCGTTTATAATTTTGGGACAGAGTGTATATTTATTCGAATATAATGGCCGCCCTTCTATTTCCAATACCAGTTGGAAAAGTGCCATTCAAATCGAGGTGGCCACCCTATTTTTTCATAAGTTAGAAAGACTTGGATGAATCAAAATTCCTATCTAATATTTTTCGAATTCGAAACTTTACATAATTTTTAAGTAAAATTCGATATTATAGATTTGTTTACAGAGAAAAAATGAACAGAGACAACGATACCATTTCCATTCTGATTGTGGAAAATGCCCATCAGGCATTCACAATCCTATTTTATACATTTACCAAACTTTAATTTTAAAATTTCTGCGTGTGGTCCATTTCTATCTATTATTTTTTACATTTAAAGATATTCGCGTGTAAATTTGAAAATGAATTTCATTATACTTTTAAATTCTTTGAAAATTTAAAATAAAAAATTATTTTTTAATTTATTTAAAAAATAAAAATTTATTGTCGAACAAAGTACAATTTATATCGTGTACTTATACGAAATTAAAAATATTTTAATTAAAAAATATATAATATGTATAATTAATTTTATACTTACCGATAAATATTATTAAATTTAATTTTTATTATTTTGAGATAAAATTGTAATATTTAGCAGATGTTTAAGAGTTAAGTACAAATTACAGCGTTATTAACAGCTGGAATGTTAAAAGTGTAACTTATTTAATATTTATTTATTTCCGGCCTTCTCAAATTTATATCTTAAAAAAATTTAATTATTTAATAATACAATATGATATCTCTATATTTTAATTATTATTTTTTTCCCGACTTCGCAAAAGTCTTAATTTTTTAAATCGGTTCTAAGACTGAGTATGCAAAAACATAATACAGATAAAAAAATTAAAAATAATTACTACATCCCTTTTTAGAGGAAAAAATAATTTTATAATATTATTTTTATTCAAAATTAGCAGTTAAGCTTTGCTCATGTTCTTATCAAAAATGGAACGTTTAAAAAAAGGAAGATTTTAGTCTACCAGATTAATTATAGAGTATAAATTGACAATTACCTGATTTTTATATTACAATACCCATATTTATCACAAATGTCATTCTTG